GCCACAATAGCTGGAACTGGCTGGAACTGGGCCAATCTAAAGCCAGAGGCCTAAATCTTCTTCCAGGTCTCCCACATGGGTGCAGGGCCCCAAGCACTTGGGCCATCTTCTACCGCTTTCTCGGGCACATTAGCAGGGAGCTGGATCAGAAGTGGAGCAGCCAGGACAGGAACTGGTGCCCTATGAGATGCTGGCAGTGCAGGCGGCAGCTTTACTTGCTATGCCACAGCACCAGCCCACATCGACTTTCAAGTGATGTGTACTACTCTTGCACAAGAAATTTCCAACAGTATACTTCCATTTCTACCATTCCTGCTTGGCATTATTATGGTTTTGCATTTTACTCCTATATGAGTGTAGGTCATATGTTTATGGAAAAATGAAGTATAAAAATCAGTTTGTTTTGTGCAAAAAAATTGAAATGCACACATACTTTTCTCATAATAAGCATTTTCCATGAAATTTTTAAAGACTCTTTTAATTAAGAGTCCCACAATATATAATCAATGTTGATTTAAACAACCAGAAATCCTTAAATGATTTAAAGTTTTGGGACAGTTACTTCACATTTAACCACATAATGACCATGTCCAGTACTCTTCACTCCTTTATATAGATCCAGCTTTACATCTGATATCATATTCTTTCTTCCTAACCAATTTCCTTCAACATTTCTTATAGTGCAGTTCAGCTATTGGCGAGTTCTTTCAGCTTTCGTATGATGGGGAAAGTTTTTTATCTTGCCTTTGTTGTTGAAAGATATTCTTAGTGGATATGGAATTTTAGATTGACAACTTTTCTGTTTTGGTGTCTGGGAGATATTGTTCCACAGGCTTCTAGTTTGTGCTATTTCTAACACGGGAGCTGCTGCCATGGTCTTTCTTCCTGTCAACATAATGTGTCTCCTCTTGGCTGCTTTTGAGATTTTTTTTTCTTTTTCACTAAGTTTAAGGAATTTTACTATAACATATAGCTTTCTTTTTAAAAAAAGATTTATTTCATTTATTTGAAAGACAGAGCCACAGAGAGAGGTAGAGGCAGAGAGAGAGGTCTTCCATACACTGGTTCACTCCCCAGATGGCCACAATGGCCGGAGCTGTGCTAATCCGAAGCCAGGAGCCAGGAACTTCCTCCGGGTCCCCCACGCAGGTGCAGGGGCACAAGGACCCGGGCCATCCTCCACTGCTATCCCAGGCCACAGCAGAGAGCTGGATTGGAAGAGGAATAGCTTGGACTAGAACCAGCCATGGCTGGGCTAGACTGAACCCAGGAGCCTAGAATTTCCTCCACTTCTGCCATGGTGGGTGACAGGGACACAAGCACTTGGGCCATCTTCCACAGACACATTAGCAGGGAGCGGTATCAGAAGCAGAGCATATTATCATTATCTATGGTTCCTCTGCAGAACTTCTACCTTTCTAACTCAGTTTTGTTAACATATGGGATACCGGCGCCAAAGGCCAGGGCATTAACCCACTGCACCACAGCACCGGCCCCAATACGTAGTTTTCTTCATGATATTTTTGCTGGGGGTTCTTTGTGCTCTTGGAACTATGGTTTACAGTTTTCATCAAATTTGGAAAATTTCAGCCATCATTTTGTCAAACACATTTTCTCCCTTCTCCCCTTTCAGGCTCCCACTGCACATACATTAAGGTTCTTTGTCCCACAACTCCTGAAGCTCTGCTCCTTACGTCTCCGTTTTTTCCTCTCTGCTTCATTTTATATTACCTCCATTCCCTGTCTTTAAGTTGAACAATCTTTTCTGAGTACTTAAGCTGCTGTAATTCATTTTTTAATTACAAACATCAACTTTGAGGCAATAGTAATGAGACATTTCCAATCTCTATGCATCAAGGGATGCAGTGTCTCCTACGAGGGAGATTGGAAAGTCTCTCCCTCAGTGTTGGCCACAAACATGAGCATCACAAGACACGTGCTGGGGTCCATCTGCAGGCCCCGCCCAACCATTCCCACTTCACTCCAGCAGGCGTCACCGCACTTCACTGGTCGGCATTTCCAGGTAGAAAGTTTAAATACAGAGACTGATTTATTGACATTTTAAGTTCTTCAGCAGAGTGAAAGGTGGCAGGACAGACAACCCTCAAACACATGAACATAGGTCTTTGCTAATTAGAGGTCTCAGCGGGACCTCCACAGAGTGAGAACTCTGGGCACTGTGAGAATCCAGTGAAGAGGAGAGTGAGGTTTATTTGGAGAATTCCCTTTTGTTCGTAAACAATTTCACATGGGAAAAAAAAAAAAAAAGAAAGAGGGAGAAATCCATAACCTGGGAACCCTATGGGCACCTCTCATTGCACTGCAGATCATTACCAGGTGAGAAGGTATTTTATTATAATAATCAGAAGCATTATCTTTCTGAGGGAATAGTCCATTATTGAGCCTCTGCTTTGTTCAGACACCTTTGGTGCATTAGATGTACAACCTCTGCTAGTGCGAGGAGTAGGGGAAGAGAGAGGAAAACAGGAAGATAAATTGATTTTGGTGCCAAGAAAAAAAAGTCTTGAAATCTATATGTATGAGAAGTCTTCAAAACTTCATGGAAATCCACTTTATGGATTTCAAAGATTTTTGCACCAAAATAAGCGTATCCTTTAATTCTCATTTTCCACGAAATCTTTTAAACTGATACATAAAAATGGTACATATTTTTGAGTCACCATGTGATTTTTTTTCTTATTTTTTTAAGACTTAATTATTTGAAAGTCAGAGAGAGAGAGGGAAAGAGAGCTCTCCCATCTTCTGGTTTTCTCTCTAAATGTCCACACCGGCCACGGCTGGGCCAGACTGAACCCAGGAGCCTAGAATTCCCTCCACTTCTCCCTTGGGGGGTGACAGGGACACAAGCACGTGGGCCATCTTCCACAGACACATTAGCAGGGAGCAGTATCAGAAGCAGAGTATGCAGTACATTATCATTACCTATGGTTCCTCTGTGGAACTTCTTTCTCCTTTCTAGCTCAAATTTCGTTAACTATCAATCAACCTTTGTCCATGCCTCCTCCTCCCTGCTTGCCCCAGCCTCTGGCAACCCCCACTAGGCTCCGGGCGTCTATGAGATCAGCTGTTTCAGATTCCAGGTGATGCTGGTCCAGGGACTCGCCCTTAGAGAAACACCTGCCTAGACTGTTAAAAAGGACGCCAAGCCAGCTCCGGGGAGAGCCACAGGGACTAAGAGAAGGAACCAGGGGGAGAGTTGGCATTTCTCTGTATTCCCAGCACGGCCCAGGGCTGGCCCTGGTTCCCCAAATACCATCTCAGCCCAAGAAGGCCTAATTAAAAAAAAAAAAAATACAGCCAGTGGGGGAAGAACTATTTGCTAATGCACAGTTTATAAAAAGGGTCTCTTAGCACCCCTGGCTCGGCACTGGGGCCTCAAGGGCTTCGACTGGCTTTCTGATGAGCTTCCAGGTCTTACCTTGCCTCGGCTTCATTAAATTCTTTCCCTTCTAGGCTGGCGCCCAGGCTAATCCTCCACCTGCGGTGCCAGGACACCGGGTTCTAGTCCCGGTCGGGGTGCCGGATTCTGTCCCGGTTGCCCCTCTTCCAGTCCAGCTCTCTGCTGTGGCCCGGGAAGGCAGTGGAGGATGGCCCAAGTGCTTGGGCCCTGCACCCGTGTTCCAGAAGCGCCTGGCTCCTGGGTTCGGATCAGCACAGTGCGCCGGCTGCAACGGCCACTGGGGGGTGAACGAACGGAAAAGGAAGACCTTTCTGTCTCTCTCTCACTGTCCACTCTGCTTGTCAAAAAATTCTTTCCCTTCCTCTTCATTCGCCACACCTGATGCTCTCCCTCAAACTAAGCCCAAAATCTGTAACAAGACCGGTACCTAGTGACCCTGGCTGCTGCTCTGTATTGACACCAGATCTAAATCCGCTGGGCCGTTCAGGCTTGGGTTGTTTTTGGCAAATGTTGATAGCATCCAGTAGGGGGAGTAGTGAGAGCTTAGCCCTTCCTCTGACAACCCTCACCACACTTTGTAAACCAGTTCTCTGACTGTTAGTCCATGGCTCTCTCCGCCCTGAGCTAGCAGGACCATGGGAGCAGGGACCGGTCTGCGTGTTCACCCTCATACACCTGAACTTTACATGGTGCCTGGTTCTACCAGGTGGCAAATAATTTATTCCCCGTTATATGCCACTCCTGAAGAACAAACATCAGAGACAGAGAATATCAGAACCACAGCAACTTTCACCTACCGAGCACCTAATATGAGGGTACTGCAATATGTTTGTAGGAAATGGAATTAAAAGGTTTGTTAGTATAAAAATTGAAATCCATGCTTGTTTTTCCTAATGAGCATTTCCCACACCTTTGTTCCCATGTTCCACACCACGGAGTTCTGTATCCTCCCCAACACAGGCTCTGCCTTTGCACAGCTCTCACACCTTGTCTTTGCTACTCCTCTGCCTATCATGCCCTTCCCTTTTTAAGCATGGGCAACTCCTCCTGTGCCTTCAAGACCCCAGCTTAAGTGACTTCTTGGGGGGCATTTCTCAGACTCCCCAAGACAGCATAAATACTCAGGGCTTCCTCCATGGGGCTCCCTTTACTAGGCTTTTAGCTAAGAGACCTGGCTTTAGAGTTGAGGGTTTGGCTAAATTCTCAGCTTTGCAATTTATAACCTGTGAGACCCCGAGTAAGTTGTGTGACCTTTCTGACCTTCGGTCTGCTTACCTGCCAACCAGCACCAACAGCAGCCCCCCCTGGGGGTTGCCATGGGAATGACCTCATTAGTTTATAAGTGTATGACAAACGCTTAAGACAGAAAGTGAGATGCCTTCTGTTACAGCCTCTGTAATGACATCCACCTGTTTATACACCTGCCTCCCCTATGAAACCCTAGGTGGCCCCAGCAAGGTCTTCAATTATTTCTTTTTATTGGCAACTAGCACATAGTAGGTGTTTTGTGCATCCTGGCAGAATCCTTGTGTGTGCGGTTTTGAATGAATGAGTGAACCTGAGTTATTTGATTCCCTAGAGTGCCCAGGAGGAGCGGGGTCCCCCTGCAGCGGCAGGGGTACCTGTGCTGAAGGCATGGAAGGAAACGGAAGCTGCTCCTGCCAAGTAAGTTCAAAAATACGTTTGCCTTCACACCAGCTGTGCTCCCTTTCTTGTCTGCTGAGGCTTCTTAAACACACAGGTGCCAGGTGGAATCATCAAAAGGTCATTGCTAATGAGAACATGCAATCTGCCACCAGACGGCCTCTTAGAGGCTGGGGACCTTTAGGCAAGAGACAATTAACAACCTGGCCCTAATTAAACCATCTGCAAAATGGGTTTGAAATACTATCTATGCAATAATGTTGAGAAAGTAAAATGAAATTATATCCCGTGAGACTGTCTGGAGAAGCCAACCAGGTCTATAGAAGTTGTTGTTGTTGCTGCATTAAAAATTGCCGCCATCAGGTGGTGCTGTCCTCAACATCCTTCGTGAACCTCTGGGTCTGTCTAGTGAGGAATTTTTTGGTTATCTAAGAGAGTGGCTGTTGGCAAGTTTCAAGCCTTAGAGGGTTTAAATGCAAAGAATTCCTCCTGAAGGGGATTAAGCTCCACTCTGAAGAAATGCAAAACGGAGTTTTCTTGTCACTCATGGGTGTCACTCATGGGATGTCCCTGTTAGCACCTGCCATCTATCTATACCTTTGGGCTGACAAAGCCGCTTTCTTCCACACAGCTGTGGCTGCTTGGTGGGAAAGGACACCAAAACGGCAGGTCCAAAGGAAGAAACAGAGTCAGGGAGTCAATAAAGGCTCAGATGTGTTGGAGAAACAAATACTGCCCGGACCATCAGTAGCAAGTTCAAGGGCTTCTTGGGCCACACAGGTCCCTTTGGGTCTAACGTCATGTATCTTGCAGGAAGGCTTTGGCGGAACAGCCTGCGAAACCTGTGCTGATGACAACCTGTTTGGACCCAGCTGTTCACAAGGTACATCTGATTTTTCATGTTAACACATTCATAAGGGATGGGAGAGGCTGTTTGTTGCAGGAGTAGAGGGAGGGATTCGTTGGACAGTTATATATAATCAAGTCTGTGGGGAGAAACAGAAGGTTAACCCCTCTGATACAATGCAGTCAATGAAGAGGCCCTGTGTGATTCTTGGACTTGCAAACTGCTATTTGCCAGTAACGCCTCTGGCATGGGGTAGGCAGGGAGATGATTCTCTGAGCTCTGGGGCCCAACAGTCACCTGTTCTATGCCTGCACAGTTACTCCCTTAGACCTTTCTGGATCCTGGTCTCCATGGACACCCAGAATTTTCTAATTCTACCACAGCTGCCACCACATTCTAATTCTTCCCTTTTGTGAGTCCAAAAATGTGTGCTGTGGCCAGGGATTATTGGTTCCAGATTAAGAAACCTCAGAGTGACTTCTCTATTCTCTGATTTTTGGTTGCCTCTGGAAGCAGACCCTTAGACAAGGATTTGAGTACAAGTAGTTTATCTGGAAGGTGTTTTCAGTAACTTCTTGATGTCAAGGAGGAATGTGAGGAAAAGTAAAGGGTGTGTTATCAAGACAGGCACCATTGTGGATGGCTGGGAGTCAGTGAAAACCACATAGCAAGCTGGTGCCGTGGCTCACTAGGCTAATCCTCTGCCTGCGGCACCGGCACACCGGGTTCTAGTCCCGGTTGGGGCGCCAGTTCTGTCCTATTTGCTCCTCTTCCAGTCCAGCTCTCTTCTATGGCTCGGGAGTGCAGTGGAGGATGGCCCAAGTCCTTGGGCCCTGCACCTGCATGAGAGACCAGGAGGAAGCACGTGGCTCCTGGCTTCAGATCGGCACAGCGCGCCGGTCATAGCAGCCATTTTGGGGGTGAACCAATGGAAGGAAGACCTTTCTGTCTCTCTCTGGCTGTAAACGTTAGCAATTGTTATTACCTGTTATTCCCAGCAGCCTCCTCGTCTTAGGTTTCTTCTCCCACCACTCTGTAAAGCACCATCTCATAAAGGTGTTAGCAAGACCAAATTGCAGGCAGATAGTGGCATTCAGTGTGGATTTAAGATTAACATGACGGCCAGCGCCGCGGCTCACTAGGCTAATCCTCCGCCTGCAGCGCCGGTACCCCAGGTTCTGGTCCCGGTTGCCCCTCTTCCAGGCCAGCTCTGTGCTGTGGCCTGGGAGGGCAGTGGAGGATGGCCCAACCGCTTGGCCCCTGCACCCACATGGGAGACCAGGAGGAAGCACCTGGCTCCTGGCTTCGGGTCAGCACAGCGCCGGCCGTAGCGGCCATTTGAGGGGTGAACCAACGGAAGGAAGACCTTTCTCTCTGTCTCTGACTCTGCCTGTCAAAAAAAAAAAAAAAGATATTGAAATTGAAGTCAGTAAGAAATTATAATTGATAGTTTAGAAATGACATGTCTGCTTCTGAATTGGCCCTTCCCTACTACAATGCTAGAATTAAATTATATTTAGTAAATACTGAAATGGGAAGAGAAAGAAGAGAGCTAGCATTGCTTAGTTCCCAAGAAAGTAGAGGAATTGTTTGGGAAGAAGATGAACTGGGTTGTTTTAACAGACAGGCGTCGATGACTGGTGAACACAGGTGCACCTAGAGAGTCTGAACATTCCCAGACCATGAAAGTAGCCTCTCTTCACATTTGTCTGTGCCATGGAGAAAGGCCAAGTGAAAGGGAGAAAGATGATTTAGAACTCTGTATTTCTAAGTAAGGAAACTGGAAACCTAAACTGAGAGCTTGGGGTGGGGGGGATATTTCCCCAACCCAGATCCTAACAGAACTTCCTGTGATGTTGGAAATGTTCCGTAGCTGCATCAGTCAACATGGTAGCCACTAGCAACGTGTGGCCATTGAGCACCCGAGGTGTGGCTGGTGCAACTGAGGGACTGAACTTAAAATTTAATAAATACAAATTGAATCCAAATAGCTACACCTGGCTTGTGGCTAGCACAGCCCTAACACAGAGTGGTTGAAGCGGGCAGGCTGCAAAGTCAGACTGGCCTGAGTTTGAGAAGCACCACAATTGCTACGTGACCTAGGCCAAGGGATCTAACCTCCCTAGGCTGTAAACCGGAAGGAATAACACCTGCCTCGTGGGGCTGACAACATAACAAAGCTTACAGCAGCATGTCACAAGCAATCGAGGGGAGCAAGAACTAAGTGACAACAAAAACAATCCACCAGCAAGCAAAAAGGAATGTATGAAGGAATGAACCGGTGAGGGAGTCAGTAATGGCTGCTTATTTCCCATTGGCAAGAACTAGAACCTGTGAGTGTTTTTTAGCCAGGCGTCCACTAGGGGCCAGTGTTGCTTCATCTAATGTGATATCGGTCCCTAGCATGTGGCAATTCTGCCTGGACCTGAGACGGCTCCATTAGGTGCAGTGTATTTTTAACAATGACTTTACCCTGCCACTGGAGCATTCTCCTACCAGGCTGTTTATTGGTTTGGAGATGATTTAGAGCTGCACCAGCCAATGCCAAATCCCTACCCTACTCAGTGCCCAGCCCCCAGCTAACACAGGATACAAAGCCCATTTTCTCTGACATGGCTCCCAAATCAGTCCCACAACAGAATAGCTAGCATTTACTGAGTGCCTACTGTGTGCCAGGCAGTCTCCATACTCTGTGGGTGTTCTTTACAACTTAAGTGGCAGCACTCATTCTGTGGACAAAAGGCAGAGGTCACTCCATGAGGCCATGCAAGCTGGAACAGGTACAGAAGCAGGATTTGCCCCCACGTGTCTGATTCCAGCACTTAGGATTTCAAACACTGCACCATCCTGCCTCTGAGTGCCTACTACATATCAGCCCCTAGAAGGCTGATGGGGATTGTACAAGGGAGAGGTTAGGTCCCTGAGACTAAAGAGCTAGCAATGTGGGCAACAATTATGTTACAAAATTGCAGAAGAGCCAGCAGTTGGCTCCTGCCGTGGAATGTGTCTTGGGACCATGTACACTATTACCCCTCTGGCCAAAATGGTCACGACTTGGACCACTGCAGTGTCACACGGTCCAAGTTTCACATGTCTCTGGAGATTTGCTGAGGCCAGTTCACAAAGTAGCAATGGCCCGTTCAAGGACCATCTGGGAATTCCTCTGCTGCTTTCCCTTCCCAAGGACACTTCCTTGGCATCGGCTGGCAGCCCTGCAATGCAGTGTCAAACTCCCAAAAGCAGCTCGTGCCAGGTCAGCTAATCCAGTACAGAGGCTGCCCTGGAAGGAAGACAGGACACAGGAAGAGGCTGGTGCCAGGGCCTTGCAGCTAGGAGGGCAGTCTTACCACCACAGACAGCTCGGGCAATCAGTATCTGAGCTGTGAGCAGGGCCCGAGTCCCCTGCCTACTCCCTCTTATGCCACTCAGCTTTGTCCACGGGCTGCATGACCGCACTTAGGATGTCAAATCTCACTGTTTCTCTTAGGGTCTAGCTTCTCTCCTACACAGTGAGCTCCTTCAATTTAAATATTGTGAATTACACACACACACACACACACACACACCCCTAGTGCCTACTATATTGCCTGCTATTGGTAGGATCTGAATAAGCAGTTTAATGTTCTATTTGTTTGCATCTAATTGAATGGAAAAATGAGAGAAAGAAGTCTTCCACCTACTGGCTCACTCCCTGAATGCCCGCAATGGCCTTGGCTGGACCAGGGTAAATCCAGAGGCCCAGGACTCTAGCCAGATCTTCCATGTGGGTGGCAGGAGCCCACACGCTTGAGGTATCATCACTGCCTTCCGGGATGCGTTCGCAGGAAGCCAAATCGGAGTAGCCAGGACTGAAACCAGCACTCCAATACGGGATGTGAGCATCCTTAGTGGTGTCTTAACCTGCTATGCCATAAAACCCACTGCTGCATTTTTAATGGAATTGAATCTGCTCTAGTAAAACCCATACACTGTGGCTCCCTCCATAACCAGCTTCTCTCCAGAACTTGTCATTTCCCAAAAGTTGCAGCCACAGGTGGATGTTGTGTGATTTGTTCTAATGGAAACAATGGCAGTTGGATTTGGAGGGAGGCTGGCAACTGAAGGATGCTGGCAGGTGCAAATCCAATTTAATTCTTGATGTATTTATACACAGAGGTTTGTGAGCATCAAATTAGACATTGCACACAGAACACTTGCAAAATGCCTGGTAGGTAGTCAATACCTAGAAAAAGGTGAGTGTAGGGCCAGGTCTAGAGCAGGGTCAGCAAGGAGCATGCCTTAGGTGCAAAATTTAAGAAGGAACCAAAAATCTCAGAAGCTAAATAATTGTTCAGGCTTCCTTCTGGAGCTAGAAATTCAAAATCAGCAGAGCCATGTTCCTTTCAGAGCCTCTAGAAGAGAATCCATCCTTGCCTCCTCCAGCTCTGGCAGCCTCAGGTGTTCCTTGGTTGTGGCAACATCACCCTAGTCTCTGTCACCATCTTCTCATGCCTCATTCCCTTCAATGTCTGTGTCTTCCCTTCCTATTGTAGGGACACTGGTCACATTGGAATGAGGGCTCACCCCACTCCAATACAGCCTCATCGTAACTACTTACATCTGCAATAACTCTGTTACCAAGTAGGGTCAATCTAAGATCCTAGAGATTAGGACTCTAGCGTATTCTTGGAGGCCAAGATGCAACCCGGACAATAATACTTTAGAATTAATGAACAAACATCTAAGTGTTGAAGGATTCAACTGCACATTTTCCCTCTCCTGCCACACTCTCCTCACCTTAATCCTGGCCCTTGACAAATGCTGGCCTTATTTAAAATTTAGTTGTATAGTTGTAAAAGGTACCACAAAGGCTATTGAAGGGTAGTATGATGGGGATTCAAAAACTTCATGGAAAGTAGAAATATGTGATGTGTTTATTTTAAAAATAAGTATTTTGACAAAATATTACAAGATAAAATGATTTTAAAATAAGTTTAAAAATGCTTTGAATCTTTCAAAATAAAAAAATTTGAAATCTGTAGGTTTTTTTCATAATACATGTTTTTCTTGAACTTTATACAAGATTTATGTATTTGAAAGACAGTTACAGAGAGAGAGCACAATCTTCCAATGAGCAGGGCTAGGCTAGGCCAAAACCAGGAACCTGGAACTCAATCCAGGTCTCCCATGTAAGTGTCAGGGGCCCAAACACTTGAGCCATCTTCCACGAACCAGCGCCCCTATGGGATGCTGGCATTGCAGGCAGTGGCTTAATCTGCTGTACCACAATGCCGGCCCTTTTTACAAACACTTTGAAGACCCCATATACAGAGCAAGGGAAGACAATCCAGGCAGATCTAACCTAACAGGGAAGAGAAATAAATGAATTGAGAAAGTGCTAGTGCTGGCTGATGGCTGACCTAGTTGCTACCAGCGAGAGCACAATGTTCCCCAGCTAAACATAATCTCAGACTCGCAATGACTGATGTAATGAGACCGACTAGGCCACTGCATGATGGTGTCTGAACAGAGAAGAGACAACAGTGGACAGCCACAAAAAGAAACTATAATGCAGTCGTGTGTCACTTACTGACATGGATCTGTTCTGAGAAATGCCCCATTATGCAGTTTCATTGTTGTGTGAAGGTCAGAGTGCACGTCACACAAACCCAGGTGATTCAAACCAGTCACTCCGTGGGCCCTTGTGATGCAATCAAGCAACATGACAGATGTATGGTCTAACCAGTAAAATAACCAACATACTGTTTTACAGCAGTCATTTTTCAATAAGCAAAAGGTACTCTCTAAAATGTAAAAATTATATCACAAACATGAACTAGTAGTATAGTCATTTGTTAGCATTATCAAGCACTAGGCACTGTGCATAATTGTATTGTTATAATTTCATACAGCTTGCAGTGCAGTAGCTGTGTGTGCATCAGCATCCCTGCAAACATGGAAGCAAAGCTTTTTGCTGCAACAGTGACACCTACAACATCGCGGGGTGAAAGGAATGAATGTTTCAACTCTGTTACAATCCAATGGGATTACCACCCTTGAGCAAAAATCATTATGCAGCACCTGACTGTAGTTGCATTAGAATGTAATAGTAAACAAGGTAGAAAGAAAGTGCTACCAGAGCCCAGAGGAGCACAGGGTCTGGTTTGGGACCACTAAGATGGCACCACAGAAGCGGGGGCTTTGGCTGGCCTTGAAGGCTGAGGATGTCAATCGGTGCACAAGGGAGAGAACCCAACTGATATGAAAGTATGGAGGCGTGAAACTGATAGGCACATCCTGTTACTTCTGCCTGGCATGTCTTTCCTAGGCCAGCCTCACCCCACCTCTTCCTGGCTAATTCCCATTGGTCCACCATGTCCTAGCCTTTCATATTGTGTCGTGATTGGCTGTTTTCTTCTGCCATTAATCTGTGAGCTCTTTGAGAACAAGGACTTTGTCCTGTTAACTTTGGACTATTAATCTCTTGCGCAGTACCCTGATTGCAGTAGGTGTACATTAAGTGTTGCAAAGGGAGAGAAGTGGGGAGTGAACCGAGTCATCTCCATACTTAGAATCCAAGGTATATAAAATCTAAGGTGGAAGGTGAAAGTGAAAAATGATAAAGGTCAGAGACACACTGGGGAGGTCCTTGTTTGCCAGACTGAAGCATTTAGACGTCGTTTACCTGGTAACTGAAAGTCATTAAGTTATTTGAGGGAAGGCCATCCTGATGTCACCGCTAATCGAAGGAAACAGGTGGGATGGAAAGAGGACAAATTGAAGGGAGCAAGGCCAGCTAAAGTCTACTGCAATAGTCAAAGCAAAACATGATGAGGACCTGAATGAGGGACAGTACCAGGGGATATATGAGCAGAAAACCGAAGTGGGAGATGTAATTAAGAATGCAAATGATTATTAGACTTTATTATTATTAACTAGGCTATTAGATGGTTGGACTACTTTATTAATTCTGGCTTTTCTGGTATTTTTGGCTAAGTTTTTAAGCAGGCTGATCTTATTATTATATTGCACCTGAGCTGATATTAAATTGGCTTACAAAGCACTTGAACATGTGTGTGGTAGCAGAAGACTGGTCCCCAAAGATGTCTGTGTCCTAAGTGCTAGAACCTGGGAGGAAGTGAGGTTACCTGGCAAAAGGGAATTAAGGTTGTTGAATAGTAGACTTAGCTTAAGGAAGTTGCTCTGGGTTATCCAGGTAGCCCGATGTACTCACCAGGGTGGTTGTAAGTGGAGGAGCAGGGCTGATGAGAGAACCAATGGAGAAGGATTGTGTTGTGAACTTTGAGGACAGAGAAAGATTGGCAGAGACAAAAGATCTTCTTTCCTGGCGTATCCAGAAAAAACAGTCCTGATTTGAGCTTAATGAGGCCTTAGGCCTCTAGAACTGTAAGATGAACTCATGTTGTATTAAGCCTCTAGGTTTGTTTCTTTTTAAGACTCATTTACCTGAGAGGCTTAGTTATAGACAGGGAGAGACAGAAAGCTCTTCCGTCTGCTGATTCACTCTCCAGATGGCCACAATGGCTGGAGCTGAGCCAATCAACAGCCAGGTGCAGCTTCTGGGTCTCCCACGCAAGTGTAAAGGCCCAAGCACTTGGGCTACCTTCTACTGCTTTCCCAGGCCATCAGCAGGGACCTGGATCAGAAGTGGAGCAGCCAGACCTTGAACTGGTACCCATATGGGATGCCGGAGCTGCAGGTGGATGCTTAACCTACCATGCCACAGCACCAGCCCCAAGCCTCTAGGTTCAAGGTAACGTGTTACAGCAGCAATGGAAAACTCAAGCAACTTGCTTCACAGAGGGCTTGGAGACAGTGGTAGTGGAGCAACCTGACAGTAAATCTTGATATGAAGGAGCCACAGCCTGGGTGCTGAGGAGTTGACCCTTTACTTTGAGGACCCTCCATTTGTCATCTCTGAAATGACCTGTCACTGAACTGAAAAGCCTTCTATTTCGAGTTAGAAAGCATGACAAAGTCATTCAGACCCAATAGGTTTCTTTTTTTATTTCTTGCATTGCCCTGTCATTCAGAAAGCAGAATTTGTTTACATAGATGCTTCTGCCAATAGTGACTGAGTTCATGATAGCTCTTCTCTTTTAAGCATAACGGGTAAATGTAAGACATGAAATTGGTTCTCTTATTGAGATATCCAAGAAGGAAACAACTAGTTAGCAGCGAAAAGAACCCCAATGCATGTGATACTCCAATGCCAAGTGTGCTTCATACACCTTACTTCCTTCAACTCTGCAGAAATCCCAGGAAGTAGGCCTCACTCTCCAAAAGTTATATGATAAAAGGAAGATGATTCTGAGTTTCACAACAGAGTCTCTAAGACTTCCAGCCATGATTTCCCCCAAACCTCACTGTGCAGGTTCTCAGTAAGCACAATTTAAAAATGCTGCCCTTCCAGAACCTTTAGAAGCAGTCTATATCAGATAATGAAAATTCCCCATCATCTCTTTGCAGTGTGCAACTGTGTGCATGGCGTGTGCAACAGTGGACTCAACGGTGATGGCACTTGTGAGTGCTTCTCTGCATACACTGGCCCCAGCTGCGACAAGCGTAAGTTCTGCTCATTTCTGTACCGCCACACATACAGGTACAGGCATTCAACTCTGTATTCATTACTGGAGCTCCACAGGGGCAAGATGCCTTCTCTGCTGAAGAGGAACCAAGAATTAAAGAGGGTAGGGGTGGGCACTTGGTGCAGTGGCTAAGATGCCAGACTGGAATGCCTGCTTCCCATTTTATAGTGCCTAGACTTGAGTCCCAGCTCCAGTTCCAATGCCAGATTCCTGCTAGTGCACACCCTGGGAGACGGGGCATGAGGGATCAAGGTGTTGGGCCCCTGCCAACCACATGGGACACAGGGATTGAGTTCCAGGCTCCCGACTTTGGCCTAGCCCAGCTCCAGCTTTGGAGGCATTTCACTCTCTGGGTGTCTGCTTTCAAATACTTAAAAAAAGAGGAGGAGGAGGAAAGGAGAATGGAGGACGGGTGTGATAGAATGGGGAAAGATAAGAACAGAAGAAGTGTAGTGATGTAACCGTGTGACAGTGTGAAAGATAGAATGGAGAGAGACACTGGGTCTAGGGAATACCAGTAGAGGTCATTGAAAGCTGCTCGGCTACTAAAGGAGAGAAGGCCAATCACGACGCAGTATGATAAAGGCTAGGACATGGTGGACCAATGGGAATTGGCCAGGAAGAGGTGGGGTGAGGCTGGCCTAGAAAGGGCACACTAACGCTCGAAGGGAGAGGAAACAGGTTCATCAAGGCTGTGACTCACCAAAGGTTACAAAACTAATAAATAGAAGAGGTGGAGTTTGAATCATCTGAGTCCATAGGGAAGTACTCAGTATTCTATTACACTGAGTCCAATCAAGAAAGAGAACCCACAGGATGATTGACACGAGAGACACTTAATATAAAATTCAGGTAGCTGTGACGAAAGTGCACAGGGGACGCCAGGGCTTATGGAGTGTGACAGATGTTGGAGAAGCTGGACTCAAACCTCATTGGAGAGGGCATGGTGGTAGCCCACGAGATGACAGAAGTCAGCTGTTTGCCAAGGCCAGCATTGGACGACAGTCCCCAGGCAAGGACAGAGACACCCTCCGGGGCACTTGTGAGCTGAAGTTAGGGACTTCTCAGGTGTACAACTTATAGATGCAATGCCTGTGCAGGGAAGTCGGCAGGGAAGTGATCGATGGATCAGAGCCAAGGATGCTAAGTCACCTGATGACAACAGGGCACTCTGGGTGCCCAGCTGGGGCAGAGCATCCCTGAACAGATTATGCAGAAACAGCCGCTAACAGCGAAGCGCAACACTGCCCCCTGGAGCCAGGAAGAGGACCCCTGCCTCCTGCCATGTCCATCTAGCGCCCTCTGCTGGCAAAGCTTAACATCTCTCTGCAAAGCCAAAACCCTGACATTTATAGCCGAGCCGGTTTGAAGGTGAATTTAGGGCTGGGAAAGCAAAGAAATTTGTCACTCTGCCCATGAATATAGCCACATTTAACTTAAACTCTGGGTTTTAGTCTCAATGATAAGAAATGAATCATTCTTCCCCATGACACTAGCCTCAAGTTACCCTTTTGGTTTCAGCCTCCCGTTAAATGGAGAGGTTGGACAAGATTGAAAGTCGACAAGTACAAATTCATTTTGTTGAAAGCCTTTGAAGACTATGACTACTGGTAGTAATACAATGAATAAAACACAGCCCCTGCTGTCTTCCTGTGAAGGGCATGGCCATACCACCACCAATTCCAATCCAAAGTGAGGGGGGTGGGAAAACTCCTGTGTGGACTTCCACCCACCTCTTTCTCCATTGCATGATGGATGGACTCGCTGGCAGAGACATCTCAGTGAGACAGGTGACCCAGCTCAGCAGCCAGCCCAACTGACAACACTGTCAGATTTGCTTCCAACTGGAGAAATATCGTTGCATCAAAAGATAAACAATAGTCTGGAATGAAAATGTTTACAATTTAGATGGCAAGTTTTTATAATATGAAATAAACCAAATTTTTCAAATGGAGCTAGGAGCAGCTAGTTCTCAGAACTAAAAACTAGCTATAAACATGGGAGAGGTGCTAAAACTGGTAGGAATCTCACAAATATGAATTGAAGCCATAGCGAAGTAGGCTTGGAATTTGTGAGGTTATCTTTGGTTTTGGCCTTGACTTTTGGCCTGCTGTATTACACAGATTGAAAAGACAAATATATCTACAAGCAAAAGAAAAGTGAGAATGGGTGTGTGGATTTCTACAACCTATGGAAGACCTAGTTCTATTGCCTCTTAAGGCACAAATAGAGTATGCTACTGGGAACACAATTCTAAAAATTTATTCTAGAGAAAAGTAGGAGTTAGCAGTAGGTAAGAATATCTGTACAGAGAAATTCACAACAGTATTGTTTGTAAGAAGAAAGCAAGCTGGAACCAAATGTCCATCAGTAGGAAACTGGCTGAATAAATTGTGGTACATCCTGTACTAATTAGGATAATGCTAGATGCAATGAGAAATAAACACAAAAATTCAGTGGCTTAATACCATGGTTCTAAAACTATGTACCAAGACACATCCAAATTAGCATATCAAACTCTTTGGGCACTACTGGATATTTTTAGAAAGCTTTTATTTGATAAATATAAATTTCATAGGTAAAGCTTTAGGAAAATAGTGGTTCTTCCCCCCATACCTGAGCTCCTACCCCCACTCTGTCCCACCTCCTACTCCATCTCCCATTCCATTTTTTATTAAGATTCACTTTTAATTATCTTTATATACAGAAGATCATTTTAGTATATACTAAGTAAAGATTTTAACAGTTTGCACCCACACAGACACACAAAGTATAAAGTACTGTTTGAAGACAAGTTTTACTGTTAATTCTCATAGTACAACTCATTAAGGACAGAGGTCCTACATGAGGAGCAAGTGTACAGTGACTCCTGTTGTTGATTTAACAATTGACACTCTTATTTATGATTTCAGTGATCACCCGAGGCTCTTGTCATGAGCTGCCAAGGCTATGGAAGCCTTTTGAGTCCACAAACTCCATCAGTATTTAGACAGGGCCATAAGCAAAGTGAAAGTTCTCTCCTCCCATCAGAGAAAGGTACCTCCTTCTTTGACGACCCCTTCTTTCTGCTGGGATCTCACTCACAGAGATCCTTCATGTAGGTCATTTGTTGCCACAGTGTCTTGGTTTTTCATGCCTGAAATGCTCTCATGGGATTTTTAGCCAGATCTGAATGCCTTAAGGGCTGATTCTGAGGCCAGAATGCTGTTTAGGGCATTTGTCATTCTATGGGTCTGCTGTGTGGCCTGCTTCCCATGTTGGATCATTCTCTCCTTTTTAATTCTATCTATTGTTATTAGCAGATGCTTGGTCTTATTAACGTGATCCCTTTGACACTTATTCCTATCTTTATGAGCAGTCACACACTTAAAATGATCACTTTAACTAGTAAGATGGCATTGGTACCACCCAGCTTAATGGGATTTGGAGTCGCATGGCAAGTTTTTAGCTTAACCCTTAGGGGTAAGTCTGTGGGAATGTGTGCCAAACTGTACACCTTCTCCCTCTCTTAGTCCCCCTCTTATTTTTAGCAGGGATCAATTTTCAACTGGATTTAAACACCTATGAATAATTGTGTTAAAAGTTCAACCAATGGTATTAAGGAGAAAAAGAAAATAATAAAAAAGTCATTCTTCAAAAGGGCAAGAGCTGATCAATAATGTCATATTGTCAATAATCTCATAATGTCAGTTTCACTTCTACAGGTTTCCTTTAGGTAGGTGCTCAATTAGTTGTCACAGATCAGGGAGAACATATGATATTTGTCCCTTTTGGGACTGGCTTATTTCACTAAGTATGAGGTGTTCCAGATTAATTCATTTTGTTACAAATGAGTGGATTTCATTTTTTTTACCACTGTGTAGTATTCCGTAGAGTACATATCCCATAATTTCTTTATCCACTTTTCTGTTGATGGGCATTTAGGTTGATTCCATGTCTTAACTATTGTGAATTGAGCTGCAATAAACATGGAGGGTGCAGATAGTTCTTTTGTTTGCCAATTTAATTTCCCTTGGGTAAATTCTGAGGAGTGGGATGGCTGAGTCGTATCTGGGCAGTTCACCTGAATATGGATACTGACCTAACCTTTCACACAAAACTGTTCATCCCAGTCTGTGAAATTTAAAAATAAGGAGCTCATTGAATGCCTGTATTAGGCTCTCAATAGCCAGGAACTCCCAAAGGTTAAATTCAGGAATCATTTTTGGGCCAGGGCCACTCAGTTGTACAGCCTCCTTGTGATTTGACTTAATGAAAAGAGAAATTTTTGTAGCTCTTGTGAATGGGACTGATCTTAGAAGTTCTTTCTCAGCCTTGGCATTGCCTGTATATACAAAGGCTATTGATTTTTTGTGTTAGTTTTTATATCCTGCAATTTTACCAAACTGCCTTATGAGTTCCAATAATCTCTTAGAAGAGTCTCTTGATTCATATATATATAAATGTCTGCAAGCAGGGATAGTTTGACTTCCTCCTTTCCAATATTATGCCTTTGATTTCTTTTCTTTGCCTAATGGCTCTGGCTAAAACTTTCAGTACTATGTTGAATAGCAATGGTGAAAGTGGGCATCCTTGTCTGGTTCTGGATCTCCGTGGAAATGCTTTCAACTTTTCCCAATTCAATATGATGCTATCTGTGGGTTTGTCATGTATTGCCTTGATTGTTTTGAGGAATGTTTCTTCTAAAGTGATCATTTTTCCACTCAGTTATCATTTATAGCCATCATGCATATTCCTACTAAACTAGGGTGTTTTTGCTTTGTACTTGTTAAACTTCTTATTCAGTGAAGTATTAAGCTTCTTTACTGTAATGTAAATTTAAAATATGTTAACTCAAAACTGAAAATGAAAAAGATGAAGGGCTGGAGGGAGGAAGGGAGGGAATCTCATTATAGTCTTAGACTTGTACCAATAAACAAATTGAATCTGTTAAAAATTAAAATTCAAAATGAATTTAAAAATTAAAAGGAATACTGCAAGTTGGTATTTTTTAGAACTGGTGTTCTATTAATGCAAGTACTTTGACAATATTCCTGTACAGCCGTCCCTGAATGTGCAGCCTTGCTCTGCCCAGAAAATTCCAGATGCTCACCTTCCAGTGAAGACGAAACAAAACTGGAATGCAAATGCCTTCCCGATTACAAAGGCGATGGCAAAGAGTGCGAGCGTGAGTAGAATGCAGAGCCTGCTGGGTTTGCTCACTGACATGCGGGGTTATGTAAGAGGGGAATAAAACCTCATCACCTCCCTAATAGTAACACAATGAAGATTTCTGTTTCCGTCTATGTAGTTGAGTAAAATACATTAAAAGTGTCAAGTAAAATGTTCAAGTGTCAGGCCTCAATAACTGGCAATTTCTCCTTCTGTAATCAAAACACATATGTGAGCTTTAAAACATGATTTTATATCACCTTAATGTCAGTCTAAAATATAGCACTTTTCTCCGTTTCATGTTCATGCCCTTTCTGAAAGTCTGTACTGTGCATCAGTTCAGCAATAAACTCTGAGTCCAGACTGTCTGGATTTAAGCCCAGATAAAACTTATACTAGCTACATGATCTTTATCCTGCCTGTGCCTCAGTTTTCCTATCTATTAAATTGGGATAATAAAGATATCTATCTTAAGGGATTGTTATAAGGATTAAATGAGTTAATACATGGCAAGTGTTTAGAACCAATACATAGGATGGATCTTCAAAAACTTCATAGAAAATTTTTACTATGAAATGAATCTTGATGTGAATGGAAGGGAAGAGGGAGTGGGAGATGGGAGGGGTGCGGGTGGGAGGGAAGTTATGGGGGGGGAGCCATTGTAATCCATAAACTGTACTTTGGAAAATTATATTTACTAAATAAAAGTTAAAAAAGTAAAATAAAAAGTAAAAAAAAAAAAAAACTCTGTGCGGCTTTCAAGAACTTTTTACCCTGAAATAAATTTATCTTTTGATTCAGTTTTTCCCTGAGCATTGTGAAGAACCTGCATATTATAAATTCTAAAATCACTAGTATGCTTTTTTTTTGTGGAATTGTATATTTAATTACATATAAAATAACATGATAATACATAATGGTATCTGTAGTGACAATTGCCCTGCCACATGAGAATCTCTTTTTGTGGAGGAGCTAGTCATATGGAATGGGATGAAATATTTATCTATTAAAACTGCTGACTTACCTTGGCAGCTGTGATGAGCTGTGACCCATCAGCTCAGGTTGCCTTCTGCAACTCTGAAGGTGCTAATTGCCTCTCCTCTTGTCATTGCTTCGCAAGCCATCAACCCCTGTTTGCAGAACGTCTGCCACCCTCATGCTCATTGCACATACTTGGGACCAAATCGGCACAGCTGCACCTGCAAAGAATTCTACCATGGGGATGGCCACGTGTGCCTACCAACAGACCCCTGCCAGACTAACCTCGGAAACTGCCCTACGAAGTCCACGGTGTGCAAATACGATGGGCCGGGACAGGTGAGCTAATAATGCGCGGAGCCGATGTGACCAGAAGGGCAAGGCGCAACCTTGTGCCAGCGGCATCATTCGTCTTCTGCACCTTCCAGTCCCCTCTTCCGATGCTCGGGTGGGGATTCCTGCCCCAGACAGACCTCCATGTGCTCAGGGCCTGACCTCAGTGTCCCCCTCCCCCAACTCCATCTATCCTCCAAACTCACATTTCCCAGCTCCTCGGTCAAAACCTAAGTGATCCGAGTCTTTTATCACATTCCTATGTGGTGATAGACCAAATACACACATCATTCAAAATTAAATTAGCAAATTGTCAACCAGAACTTGGGTGAATATATAAGTTACTGTCACTCCCAGAGTTCCATTCCTTCTAATTTTTTTAAGTTACAAGGGGCTCTTAGAACTAAAAATTTACTTTCCCAAAGAGATGAAAACTGATCAAATATTAGACAACACTGAAAGATTGTAGGGAGCAGTGAAGCTATTCTGGAGTGAAACACTGCCCTTTTAATCTTTCTTACTCCCCCCTCACTGCCACCCAGTAATTTTGCCTTTCAAGTAAATAAATGAATAAATCTTAAAAAATTCCCCTTTAAATAACATCATGACCTTGAGTGATAAAAAAGCACACTGGTCAGGAGATCTTTGTGAAGGAGCCAAACCCGAAGAGCTTTGTCCCTAAGGTTGCACTCATCTACCAAGTATTTAGTGAATGCTTGCTGGGCCCATAATTGCACAGCAAGTCTGCAGTGGAGGAATCTATCCACACAGAAGGTGGTGGGTGCAGGGGGAGGGAAGTCTCGGTAGCTGGCCCAGAACAGCCATGGATCCCCACAGTCTCATCAGCACCCAACGGGGACATTCCCAGAACTCCCTGCAGAGAAGCCACCCAGTCGTGCCTCTCTGAGGAGCAAGAGTGCCTCACATGACACTTCCGCCACCAACTTCTAAGGCAAGGTTTGCAGAGAAATGCCAGGGGCTACCTTCCCATGCTCAAAATAAGGCTCTTTATGGGAAATCCATGTTGCACCATGAATTCCAGGACCTTGAGGGGAGATTTTAAAAATATGCTTTATCTCTTTAAAAATGGGTCTCGGGGCAGATTTTAAAGTCTTGGAGACCTCTCATCAGTCACACAAAACCCAGCATTGCCTTTTTCCAGAGCAGAGTTTCTCAACCTCGGTATTATTAACCTTTGGGGGCTATCTAACTTCTTCCTTGGGGGCAGCGGGTGCTGTCCTGTGCATGGCAGGATGTTTAACAACATGCTCAGTCCCTGCTGGCACCAACCTCCCTACATTGCGACCATCACAAATGTCTCCAGGGGTAGGCAACTGGCACAGTGGTTAAGATGCTACTGGAGATACCTACACCCCAGCTCTGCTCCCGATTGCAACTTCCCACTAATATACACCCTGGGAGGCAACAAATGATGGCTCAGGTTGTTGGGTCCCTCCCACGTACATGAGAGATGCAGACTGAGTTCCCAGCTATGATGGGCATCTGGGGAGTGAATCAATATGCACACACACACACACATACACATGTATACAGACACACATATACACAGACACATACACACACACAGACACATACACATACACACATATACACACATATATACACACACATACACATGTATACACAGACACACATATATACAGACACATACACATATATATACACACATACACACATATATATACACAGACACACACATATATATACACACAGACACACACACACACACAGACACACATATATACACACACATACACACACATAAACACATATATACACACAGACACCTACACACACACATATATACACACACAGACACACACACACATATATATACACACACATATATACACACAGACACATACAGACACATATACATACACACAGACACACATACATACACACACATACACACACAGACACATATACACACATATATATATATACACACATAAGTGTATATAATCATCAATCAATAGATAGCCCCTTAAATATCTCCAGACATTGCCTAGGTCCCCTGAGTTAACCCATGGTTGAAAACAATCTAGAGTAATAACACTCCCATCTGAACATCAACCTATGCTTACCTATATACAATCCAAAACCAGAAATTATGGAGGCAGGCACTTAGCCTGGTGGTTAAGAGGCCTATTTCCCATGGTGGAGTTCCTGGGTTCAAATCCTGGCTCCAGCTTCTGATTCCAGTTTCCCACCAATTACAGACCCTTTGAGGCAGCAGTGATGGCTCAACTAGTTAGATTCCTGCCACCCAAATGGCAGACCTGTGTTGAATTCCTGGGTCCTAGCTCTGGCCCAATATTTGGGAAGTTGAAGTGAATGGGAGCTGTCTCCCTCATCCTCTCAAATAAGTTTTTAAAATGAAACAAATTATGTAGCCCTGGAGATCAGCTATATGTATTTCATATTAGGTGAGATGTATGAATATCACTTCTACTTTTTGATATTTTGACAAATCTTTTGCTTAAGCACATATTTGAGACCTATGCTAACCTAGTTTTAGCAACATGTGTTAAGAAGAGTGCTGGCTGAAGTGACTAACTGGGTTGATGTTTGTTTTCTCTCCCTGCCTACTGAAGTCTCACTGTGAGTGTAAGGAACATTACAACAATTTTGTACCAGGAGTTGGGTGCAGTATGACCAACATCTGTGAATCCAACAACCCATGTCATAAGAATGCAAACTGTATCACCATCGCACCTGGCCAAACTGAGTAAGTCTTTTTAATTCTGCCCCTACGCTCCCCAAGTGGTGAAAGTAGTGGCCAGTCCATACAGTAAGTTCCTCAAAGGAAGAGTCTTAGTCTTATTCAGCCTTGTATCCACCACCACCCCACATAGTAGGAGTAAGGAGCACAGTAGGTACTTAATATATCTTTGTGTAATCCATGAATCGCTCTGCACTTATTTCCTTTACAAAGATCGCTAGAACATTCTAGAACACTGATCTGGCCTGATAGGTTGCTGTGAAGCAGTTGGAATGTGGGAGGAGGAGACTGCTGTGACTGGGAAAACAGATGGCTGCTGAGATTCCACAATGTGACCCCTTGTGTACCTGCCTGTTTCCTCAGTGGTGAACTGTTGCTCAGTGGTGGTGCACACTAGCCCAGGGAAAGCGGGCAAGCCTGAGTGGTGTTTCCTGGACTCCAGGTTTCAGAAGAAGGTGTTCCCTGCAGGTGAAAGCATTTGTGTGAATATTTCTGAGGCAGAGGCAGCTCACGTGAAAGAAAGGGGATCGCACTGGGAGTGTAAAGACCTGAGGATAAGGCCTGGCACAGGTACCCATCAGACACGAGACCCTGGGGAAGTGGCACTCTCTCTGGTCTCAGCGTCTCTGTGTGTAGAATGAGCACATGGATGTCTATTCCATAAGAAAGTGGTGACAATTCCAGGAGAGAACAGTTCTAGAAATTTCTGTACAGATGTATCATGGTTTTCTTAGTGACTAAGAACTCAAGTCTTTGAACTCCTGGACTGAGGTTTCTCTCTGTGCCACCCCCCTCACTCCTCATTGTCACCAGAGACTGCCTAGGACTCAGACCGCCATTGTGAGTTCAGACCCATAGTAGACATTGAGCTAAATAAACATAAACCAGTTTCTGGGCTTCCAAAGTCCCCTTCTGCCTTCCTTGAAGTTGCTCCCGTGGATGACTGGGTTTTCAGTGGGTGGGTCTGCCCAGAGAGGCAAGTGATAGTCACCATGTGCTAGCTGGGCAAAAGAGTGACCTGCCCTCACTGCAGCTGGCGTGGAAAGAGGTTGGGTATCAGAACCCCTGGGTTCAAACCCCAGCTGTGCCACTTACCTTGGCCCCTCTGACATCATAAAAAGGGGGAATTGTACCTCCCACCAAGGCTGTGATGAGGATTAAATGAGACTGTATTCATTGATCCCCAGGCAGAATCTGGCACACAGAAATCACTCCATTCCTGCTGACTGCACACGCAAACACAGCATGGCCTGCAGACAGGCACACATGCACCCGACACACACACACATACAGGCACATCTTCTCCCACACGTAGATTCTGGTAGTGTGGATGACCAAGCAAGCCAGTGCACACATCTTTACCATCCTCTGAAAAAGTCCCAGTGGAAAGATTCTTTCTTTGTTTTGACAAGAAAAAAAAAAAAAACAGTAACACAGTATCAGTATGGTGAACTGTGTCCAAACTTGTGTTAAAATATTAATGGGACTAACATTGGATTTTAGAAGTACTTGTACAACCCACACTTTCTTCCTCCTCCCAAAAGATGGACTGTCTTCAGCTGAATAAGAGACCTAAATAAAAAGACTTGCAGCAGGCATTTGGCCTAGCAGTTGAAACACCTTATGTCTGCATCCCATATTGGAATGTCCGGGTGCAAGCCCTGGCTCCACTTGCAGACCAACTTCGCAGCTAATGCACAATGTGGGAGGCATCAAGTGGTGGATAAAGTATTTGAGTCCCTGCCACCCACATGGGAGACCCAGACTGAGATCCAGGCTGCTGGTTTCAGCCTGGCACAGCCCTGCCTATTGTGGGTATCTGGGGAGCAAGCCAGCAGAAGGAAAACATCTTTTTGTCTCTCTCTCTCTCCCTGTCCTGACTCAATTTTTTAATGGCTGATTAATTACACAATAAACCGTGAAGCTATCAGTCCTCAGCTTATTTAGCACATGGAGGATGAAGACCGATTTTGTTTTTGCCTCCTCAATATGGCATGTAGTATATGCCGAATCCCTAAACTCATGCTGTGTCAGTCGCTGGGGGTCACCCCATTGAGAAGAATGAGTTCAAATGTGGACTTTCCCATGCACTCCCCAGGCTGCCCTCAGACAAGTCTAAACTTCCCTAAGCCACTGTTCTCACACCTGCTGAGTCGGACCAGAAACCGGGACTACCTCCTAATAAGGGGTTGACAAGTTACTGGATGTCAGCTTGCATTGAGCTCTGCCTCCACTCTGGATATGACTGAGAACAAAGATCTGAATGCCTGTTCCACTTGCATCACTTTCTGTGGACTTAGCAGAAATAGAAGTAAGGGGCCCTTCTAAGGGCCCTTCCAAAAGCCCAAGGGGAAAAGGAATGGGATTAAAAGATATGTTCATGTGGGTGCAAAAGAATTTTGAATTCCATGCATGGTGTTTTCATAGTATGTGTTTCCATGAGCCTTTTGAACACTCTCTGTTGAAGAGGAGAACATTATCTCATTCAGCTTCAACCATAAAGGAGACTCCCTGACAGAGCAGACGTAGTGAAGAAAAGCACAGTTTACATTCCAGCTGCAGAAAAGTATACCACACAGCAGTGAACTTGATACTCTCCAAGTGTTAGTGACATTGATGATATTCAGTGTTTATGTAAGACTTGTACAGGTTAAGATGTTCTGGAAGGAAGTCGTCTTCCTAAGAATCCCATCCAAGGCAGCATGGTGCAGTGCAAGAGCCGTCCCAGGCAAACCTGGGTGGAAATCTAGATGTGCTGTCAGCAGTGTGACCCTTAGATCTGGGCACCAAGGACCCCCGCACCAGCACTATGTTAGAGGGTCCATTCTGGCCCTCAGCTGGCTATAGCAGGCAAGGCATCTGTCGGACCAAGGGGACACTTCCCTCCCAGAATCTGAGCCCTGCTTTAAACACCACGCCCAGGTGCTCAGAACCCCATTACTCAATGTCCGCAATGGCTCCAGTCCAGCTTCCAAGGCCTGGACCATTCTCCCCAGAGCCTGGCCAAGGGCTGGCTGGCTGTAGCAGGTGTGGATAAGCTGACCTTACTTCCACCACCCTCATGAACACACCCTTCCTTGGCTCTGGTTCCAGCGAGTCTGACTGTCTTAGTCCATTCAGGCTGCTGTAACAAAACACCATAACTGGGTGGTTTAGAAATCGCAGACATTCTGAAGGTTGCAAGTCTGCAGTCAGGGCACGAGCATGGTTTGGTTTTGTCGAGAGTGCTCTTCCAGGTTGCAGACAGCTGCCTTGTATCCTCATGTGGACAGAGGGCTCAAGCTCTTCGGGGTGTCTTTCATATTGGCACTAGTCCTATTCATAAGGACTCCTCCTCCATGACCTATTCACCTTCCCATATCCCTACCACCTCCCCCATGCCATCACTTTGGGGGTTAGGCTTTAATATGTATTCACTTTTTTCAAAGATTTATATATTTGAAAGAGTTACACAGAGAGGAGAGGCAGAGAGAGCTTCCGTCTGCTGGTTCACTCCCCAACTCCAGCCACAACTGCCGGAGCTGCACCAATCCAAAGCCAGGAGCTTCTTCCAGGTCTCCCACATGGGTGCAGGGGCCCAAGGACTTGAGCCATC